CTTAGAGGCGAGGATGGTGAGAGTTGGTTTTACATACTTTGGACATGTTATCAGGAGGGACCGTTCTCTGGAGAAGGACATCATGCTTGGTAATGTAGAGGTTCAGCAAAAAATATGAAGACCCTCAACGAGATGGACTGGCACAGTGGCTGCAACAATGGATTCAAACATAGCAATGACTGTGAGGATGGTGCAGGACTGGGCAGTGTTACATTCTGATGTACACAGGGTGTCTATGAGTTGAAATCGACTCTATGACACCTAACAACATCAACAACGTATGCATGTTTACACATACATACACACACACGTATATACATAAAGAAATAACCGTGTGTGTGTGTGTGTGTGTGTGTGTGTGTGTATAGATTAATGCAAAAAACTTAAATAGTCCAGGAATAGACCCACCTATCAATATGGAAAGCTGAGTCATGACAGAGGCAGCTCTGCAGGGTAATGCCAGAAACCACACACACTTTAATATGTGGGGCAGAATCAACTAGTTATCTAATTGGAATAGTTAATGCATTCCTACCTACTCCGTAAACAAAAATCAATTAAAAATAAATTAGTTTTAAACATAAAAATATAAATTTATAACACTTTCAGAACTTATAAACAAATGATTTTATGACATTACAACAGAGAAAAAATTCTAAAATAAAAAAAGACAAAGAAATAGATTGACAAACTCAAGTATATTAAAATTCAAAACTATTCATCAAAGGGCCGCAAAGAGTGCATAAGCTACATAGTAGGAAAACAATTTTCAAAATCTATAAATGAAAAATGTATTACCAAATGCTATAAAGCCTTAAAATGTCAGAAAAAGATGAAGTAATGGTGGGAAAATATGCACAGACTGGTCAGTGCTGGCAGTTTAAGATAACTGAAGAATAAAGAAGATATCATTCATACCCCTCTACAAAGCAAAAATTAATTAATTTGATAATCCCCATGTTGCCAAGCAAATGAAACAAATAAAATACACATACATACTATGTGGGAGGGAAAATTGGTAAACTACATCAGCATTTCCTAGTAAATTCAAACTTGGCTATGATCCACAACTCAGCAGGTTTACCCTCACTAGAGAGTTACTGGCCAAGTGTACTTGGACCCCGGAAAGAGAATGAACACAGCAGCAGTATTCACAAGAGGAAAAACTAAACTAGAAACAACTCAAACTTTGTAAGCTGTACAATGAACAGGTAAATTGTGGCCCATTCATAAAATGGAATACATACATACATAGGACTATGGGTAGATGAGAGCTACAGACACCAGCATGTATGAAACTCAAAGATATCATGAGGAAAACAATTCACTAAAGAACCCAAAAGAGTAACTGTGTTTACAGAAAGCTCAAAAGATGCAAAACTCAACAATACATAGCTTAAGAATTAAGACTTGGGCGGTAGAGCTGTAATAATAGCAACAACAATAATAATAAATTTCTAATACACAGACAGTAGTCACCTGTAGGTTAATGAGATTGGGGCTGGACACACTAGGAGGCTCTAAGAACTCCCCAAGTACTATTTATACTCAGGTGTTTAGTGTTATTAAACTTTATAGGAAAAGTTTCATGCATTTTTTTGTTCATAATACACTTTATAATAGAAAGTTTAAAACACTATTTAAAACTGAAAGAGAAATATAATTTTCATACAGTAATTTTACCAAGTAATCTGACAGCCCCTTCATTTTGATTTAACTTGTCTTCGGTCAGGAGGACTTTTATGCCTCAACTTTTTATACCTGGATCTTAGAAATTTACATTTATATTCACTAGAGCAAGCTCTGTAAAAAGAAAATGTTGAAAACTGTCCAAGTGTCCACTCGTGGTGACGTTAAAAAAAAAAAAACAAACCAGAAAAAACTAAGATAGATTCACCAATGCAGTATTATGGAGTTTCATACAACTTTAGACTTATTATTATGAACAGATCTCATGATAATTTGTTAACTGAAAAAAGCAAGTATAAATTCTAAGCTACCTTTTGTATAACAAAGTAGGGGAAATAAAATTTCTAATTCTATTTGCTTGCATTTATATAAAGAAATACCGGCAAGATGCTTAAGAACGTTTACGATAAAGCTGGTTATCTAAAGGTAGCTGGTGGAACAAAGGTCTAAATGAGGACAAGGTTAGGTAGAAGGCTTCACAAAGACTGCTTGTTAAGTTCATAATGATATAAGCTTTAAAGGTATTATCTATTGGAAAAACAATAATTTTACTTTTAAACAATATAAATCAAATGTGGTCTTTAATGTGTTTTCCAGGAATGCCCATTAATAAGTATAGAACCATTCAAGATTTAATCACTTAGGGACTGTTATGAAATGGTCCAATATATTTGTGTAAATCAAAAAACGTGTCGGAGCTCTGTGTTCAAACCCAGTAGCAGGGATATCAGTCTGCTTTTATCTCCTTTCGAAGGTTTCAAAATGGTTAGAAGAGTTAAAACATTAGGGGTTCTGGCATAATATGGTAAATTTAAGAGTCCTTCAGATCCTTCTCAAGATTTAAGTAAGCTCTAGAATAACTTTTACATCAGTTAAAACAGGCATTCCTCTGTGTTTCACAAGTTTTATATCCATTTAATTAAAAAATTAGCAATAGAAATATAACAAACTATTCCCAAAATTTGCTTGCAGTGGAAACTGTGACCCTGAGAACTTAAATACACCCATCTGTGGGGTTTTAGACATATCCAATATAGATCCTGCCCACAAAGGACTCTGGGATTGAGCAAGAGTGACTGACCAGACAGTAACCCAGTCCATAGTTAGACAGGGACACTGACCAGACTTCCCTCTCTTTCTTCGCTTCCCTCTCTTTCTTCCTCCAGGAAGATATTGGGTAGCCCCTAACGGAAGGAACACAGTGGCCATGTGGGAGTAATCTCTGGCCGTGGCTGACCCCATACCCCACTGGCTAGGTACATGCACTCTACGCTTTCCTTGGATCCACTCCCACATTTCAAAGGTTATACCCCCTCCTTACAATGAACCCATTTGGAGGAGGCAGTAAATGGTTTGTATTTTCTTTGTAGGATTACTTACCTGCTATTTTTACTCCTAGTGTCAACAATATTAATATAACCAAAACTGAAATGCTACGAAAGTTCATCACCACTCCCCTAAATGACACTCAACCTGGGCTTGCTGCTCTCACCAAAGAAACTGCTGTCTTGAGAAAGATGGTGCTCCAGAACAGAATGGCTTTGGACATGACAATGACAGCCCAAGGAGGCATCTGTGCTTTATTAAAAATTGAATGTTGTGTACATATTCCTGATAGTGCAGCCCTCGTAAACCAACTCCCTTGTTCACTTACAAACCCAATTAGATTGCACAGAAAGTACTGGGGATGACACTTGGTGGACAGAGACCAAGGGATGGTTCTCTGGGTGGAGAACATGGTGGAAAAAATTACTATCTGGACTTCTTTGCATCATAATAGGTGGAATCATTTTTTGAACTTGCTTATATTGCTGCTTAGGTGTATGTCTGCAATGCTTTAATAAAGTAGACAAGGGAGCCCTATACTCATTTTCCCCTTACCCTGCAGGCTCAGGGAAGCTCAAGGAAGAGATGGACACGTGAGACTGTTAAAGAGTCTGGCAGGAAAGGGGTGGATTGTGGGGTGTCAGATACATTCAATATGGATCCTGCCCACGAAGGACTCTGGGATTCTGAGACTGAGCAAGAGTAGCTGGCCAGACTGTAACCTTGTCAGTAGTTAAGACAAGGACATTAACCAGATTCCCTTCCTTAGGGCTATCCCTCCCCATATCCTCCACCAGGTTTTCAAACTTTCCTTCCCCTCCCTTCCCTCCTATGGCACTCCTACAGTGCTGGTATCACATTCCTTTCCCCACTGTAATTCACCCATTCTTTGAGCATGTAAGTGTTACAACAAGAGACCGAGGTGCAGGCCAATATCATGCCCTAAGTCAATGACTAGTGCTTTGAGAGTTCATCCATGGGAATCTATGCTGCCCTTGTATATGTAAGCTTACCCTAATTAAAAGCCTTTAGTCCAATCAAGCTGACTTTTGCCGCCTATTTTTTCAGAGTACGAACCGAGCCTTTCCAAGAGTGTTTAGGGGCTGCTTTACCCCCTTGACTCCCAATTACACCTGGGGGCTGCACCAGCTGCTGACCAGGCAGCGTGATATCACGGCCTAATATCCTGGCCTGCTTTTTAGCAAAAGAGAACACTTTTAGATTTTCATCCAAGACTGTGGGGAACAGTCACAATTTTTAGCAATGTACCACCAGCTCTTGGCAGAGACAGCCAGGGAGGACGGGGACCTGGATTGGGTATCATGCTTCTCACACACCTGAAAGACTTAAACAAAACCATTCCCCACCGGAAAAAATGATGGTTTTGGAGACCCCAGACATGATCTGGCTGCACTTACTCTGCTGCCTCATTTCTGTGCTGACGTCATGAGAGTGCCAAGCCCCACGCAGGAGCCATGGAGAGTCAGGGTACTTCCCCAAATAACTCTCTTTTTTTACCCCATCACACTGTGTGACAGATAGAGTTATACTGTCAGAGTTGCACAGAAATGGCTCCAGTGCCTGGGGGAAGCCAAGAAAACTATCTGCAGCGATGGGATGGGATGGCTCAGCCTCCCCAGCCAGAGCTGCTCTATCTTCAGACTCTGCTCAGGAGAGTCTGTCATTCAACACAGAGCACCAAGGCCCAGGGTGGGGATAAGGTCCCACGGTGTCAGCTCTGAGAGTAACATAGAGAAGGTGACTCCAAGCATCCAAGGCTTGAAAAACCTCATATGCGTAGAGGAAAGGCTCAGTGACAGTGGAGCAGGTTCTTAGGATGCCGCTTAGGATTTGCCCTTGGTCTCCTCTGCCACCTTTTACCTCATAGAACAAACAGACAGCATAGAACACAGCAGGTCCCCCACCAAATCATATTTAGCCTACCCCCTTATATTATGAATTACTCAGTTCTCTGTGGTACTCACCATTTCCTGGCTACAACTTCTGGAAATTAAATGAATGTCCTCTCTGAGCCCAAGAAGCCACTTAAAAGGGATGGGAGTGGAAGCAGAGCCACTGAGCAGTCTGGAGGCAGATGAATAATGTTTGGTCCACAGAGCCAGTCAGAGCAGTTGAAAACCTTACTTGTGACAGCAAGGATGTACAAGATGGTCGCCCTAGGTACCCAGTTGCCTAGACTGGACTAGTTCTCTCTGTGCCACACATGGGACCTGAAATGGAAGAAGACAGGGAGGAGACAGTGATGAGTAAGGAGAGAATGACAAACCTTTTTTTTTTTTTTTT